CAATAACAGAACCTCTTTAGAAGCGCTGAATCACCCGTTCGAGACAAGACAAAAATCCAAGAAATTATACAAATAAGACAAAGCGAATAAAAGCTGTGGCCAAATTAAGATTTTATAAATACATTGGGCAGAGGCTATTCAACAATTTGCCAGAACCGATGAGAGAACCAATGAATTTCTTCACATTCAAAAAAAGAATATTCATATGGATAATGGAAAACAGAAGTTTTATCAGCTCATTACTAGATTCATAATATTGTTTTCTGATGAACCTTCGTGAGAATAAAAAAAAATGAAAAAAAAAACAAACAAAAATATGATAAGTATATATTATATTATTGTCGTTTATTGTAGTTTTGTTTTTGTTTTTTAATACTTAATGCAGTGTGCGTATCAATGATTTAAAATATATATATATAATTTGCCAGATAAATTCTTAGGTGAAAACACAAATGGCACGAAGTCATGATTTGGAATATAAAAGTATCTGTTTCAGGTAATATGACTATTCGTAGACAAGCTCTTGAGCTCAAACGGAATCACAGTCATTTTTATTTATAATCATAAATCATGTGTCATCTCTAATATTCTCATATTCTGTTATATGTATTATGTATTATAAATAAATATATTATTATTATTATTATTTACGTTCATATTATATTACCATTCCGACAAGATACGATTCTGACAGATAACTCTCGCGGTTCTGATGAATAGTCTTTCTGATGAAATATGGCTATGTTATTGATATGCCGTTTCGTCAAAATACGATTCTGATGAAACACTATTTTGATGGAATGCGGCAATGATGAATTACCATTCCTATAAAATAAGGTATGATGTTTCACGTTCCTACAGAGTACATTCCTTCATTTTACTACATGATGGATTACATAATGATGTTTCACATTCAGATGAATCACTGTTTCATTAAAATATCATTTTGATAGAATATGTTCCGATACAAAGACTGTTCAGCAGATGGAATACGTACGGACGAATTTTATACAGCCAGCGTGGAAACAATCTTCATACTTATTTGATCGAACCGGCAAAATTACATTTCTGATGGCATTATACAGGTGTTTATATGAATATGGTTCTGGCTAGAGCACTTGATGGTATTAGTTAGATAACAGTTCTTACACAGCTGAACTTCTGTCCTTCTCTATTTTCTATATTACAATGGTTCGAGTGAATAAAAGAATAAGACATAAATTCTTCTTTATCTTCTTAATTCCCCTAGTAGCGCCTGATTGTCAGATACGATTTTAGAGGTTGGATTTTCTGTCAAATCAATCATTGTCGTAGATGGAAAATATAGAAATAGGGTTTTTGTAGAACAATAGTAATAAAAATGAAGAGAGTGCATGTAACAATATTTTATTATATGGCAAAATTGACACATATGGATATACTTATTGCTTGTTCCTTATTCAATATGTTAAACTTTACCTAAGTGATAGAGTTCAAAACATGGAGATTCCTTTGATTTTCCACCTTTTGCTGCTTTCACTTTTCCCTGATGAATTTTGAATTTGGTCAATATTGCAAACGTCATTCAATGATATTATATCACGTTGCAATTTACTTGATTTCCTCAATTTCGTTCTCAAGTTTTCAATTTCATTACGTATTTTTGCAATCAATTCTTCTTTCTCTATGATAATTTTGTTTGGCATTTCGTGTGTAGTCTGTATTGTAAATCAATGGAACATCAGATTCTCTCGAACGAATCTTATAAATCTCCTGTTTGAGAATTGGCCTAAATTATAGTTTCATTTCAATTTGCAGTTATAAGCAGTGAATTTCATTGTATGTATACTTACCCCACAAATTTTGCTTGTCTTCAAATTAATTTTCCATCCAAGCCGTTTCATAACATTCCTTCCATAAGGGAATCGTAGATATTCCCTATGTGAAATTGAAGAATTACCTCCACAATTCCCGCAATTCATTAAACAGCAGGACATTTCCATTTATCCTTTTTTCTCAGAAGTTTATGAAATCATATTGTAATTCTGACGTTCATCAAATTCATTCTTAAATTCAAAATGCGATCCAGTGACTTTAGTTCTGACTAGGGTCCCTTGATGGAAATTGACGTTAAAGTCATCTTGACATCAACGTCAATTTCCATCAAGGGACCTTAGCTCTGGCTAGAGTTCCTAAATGTACCTACTGGGTATCCCACATAACATGGGCCAGCCCATTATCTAGTAAACTGAGAAGTTCAAGAGATACGAACAAAATTGGGAATCTGAAGATAATGTCATCTATACCGGATTATCCATAAACAAATTCAATCCTCAATTCCTTTTCAATCTATTCTAGTGGCCCATGTTATGTGGAATAGCCTGTACTTGACACTGCTGTTTTGACGTTTTTTGTATATTAGAGTACGGACAATAGACAAGCAGTGACAATCAAACATAACCACGACTCACTATAGATCGCCGTTCACATTACTAAAGGGGATTGTTGGTTGAACCTGATGGCCATCGGATGATCATTTTCAACACCTAACATAAATGGTGCACTTGTTAAGCGTTCTTGTTCTGTGCTCTGATAATATCTTGCTCGTATCTTGGTACCAAAGAAGCGGTTCAAAATCCACTAGAAGCTATGTAGTCGTCTAGCACTTCTCAACTACGCATGAACATGCACATTCAGACTTGGGATTACAACTTTGAAGAAGTGATACACGAACAATATAATCAACTCTTTGATATAGATACATCAATATCTGGTACATCAGAGTTCCACAAAGTGACTATATTTTTTCACGAAATTATTATAAGAGTTCGTCTACGAAGATGATCTGAAGAATTCTTGGTTGAACAGGAATGTGACATCAGTTTGAATCAGTCATTTCAGGAAGTTGCTGCTATTTCATCATCAGATTATCGACCATGATCTTCATGGTAGCTATTGTGATCTCTGCTCCATCATTCCATCACAAGCAATAACCAGAGTTTAAATTGGAATAATGTTCTTTTCGATACTTGCTCAGTTCATAAATTGTGGGTTCGGCTCTTATTTCTCTCAATACGATCCTATTCTTCAACTTCCTACCAAGAAATTTAAATACCTTGCAAATTTTGTGGCCTGCACCTATATTCCATGCCAGTTGCATCATATTCTGTTTCCATTTTTGTAGAATCACGTTATCCGATGGAAATTCGAATAGAGTGAATTGATTTCCCGTGTTCTCACATTTGGAAACTGCACAAACTTGCATCTTTCTCCTGTTCCTTCCAATTTGTCAAACCTTTGAAATTTATGTCATGTACGTCCATGTACTGTCAGTTCCCGCTTTTTCCATCAATTTATTTGTGGTTATGTTTGATTGTTACTGCTTGTCTAGTGTCCATACTCTGATATACAAGGAACGTCAAAATCAGCAGTGTCAAGTACCTATACATTTAGGAACTCTAGTTCTGGCTAGAGTCCCTGTATGTATTTGACACTTTTGCTGTAATAAGAGTACGTACACTATGATAAGCAGTGGCAGAAGGCATAACCCTAAAAAATTTGAAATGACATGAACAATTTGGCGGGCACTGACAGTTCATGAACGTACATGACATTAAATTATTTGAAAATTCAGGTTTTCAAAAATTAATTGTGTAGTGGAGAATTGCAAAAATGGAAGCGAGCCCTTTCATTTATTCCATTTCCCCCATTCTAACCAACAACAGTTGAAGAAATATGAAGCGGCTACTATGGAAATTGAATTCAAGTAGTAAGATTTGCGAAGTAAGTACTCAATATTTGAATTTTTCGATTGAATATGATGCATATTCGAAGGAATAATATCATTTATAATTTCAATTTTAACATTATAGGTGCACTTCAAATGTGAAGATTCCATAGTGGAACATACCATCAAATTGAAAGAAAATGCGGAGCCCTCATTCCATCATCAGAAGGATTATCGAAGACATTCCTTATCGAATTCAGGACAATTTTTACGAGGAAACATTCAAGTAGAATACCAAGATGAAATTAAATGTATTTTGGATCACAAACAAGAAATTATCGAAGATTTAGAGAGAAGATATGCCGAAATTCAAAATTTATTAATAGTTAATGATGAAAGATACAGAAAAAAAATCAAAGAAAAGGACGAACATTTGGAAAATAGCTTGAAGCAAAGAGATTCTCAAACAAGACTGCAAGTTACGAATATTCACAACTATTATAAGAAAATAATTTTAGATCTTCAACTATCTCATAAAAAATCTTTGGAAGAGTATGAGGAAACTGCTAATGCAAGAATACAGGCAATATTGAATCGATTCAAGACCCAACCTGTGATGCCATATTAACCTTGGTATGGGGTAATATTGCAATTTGATATCACTATGCATTTTTACTTGTAATCTTTTGATGTGTGGAAAAATGGCAACGAGCCATAGGATATACTATTCTTGAATTATAATCATTATACTTGTATTTGTCGAATTTTCTGATCGTTCATGCCCTATGAAGTGTCTTAGTATGTTATGAGAACAAATATAAGTTTATTAATTGGTTGAATTGTTCTTCCCATTCATTTACATTCTGCCCATCAGAACTGGCTACTAAATCCTAACTCTATTTAATGAAAAACTAGTGCATCCTAAAATCAAAAAAATTGAAGTACATATATACCCTTTGTTAAGTATATCGAGAAATACTTTCAACAAATTGATTTACAAACTATGACCCCTTTTCGCCACTGAGATGAGACGTCACTTATTTATGAAAATAAAGACAGAGAGAGATATATGGATGTACCCTTCATCGCGGCAGTAGAGGATAGAAGATCCGAAGTGCATTTAAAAGCATATCCATGTCTTTGTTCAAAAGTCATTTTGAGAATTTGGGGTTATGCCTTCCGTCACTGCTTGTCATAGTGTCCGTACTCTTATTACAACAAAACTGACAAATATATACAGGGAATTATACATACAGGGACTCTAGTTCTGGCTACCGCACCATCTGGTACTCACCGATCCCCTTGGCCATCCGCTGGTACTCCTCCATCGGAATGTGAATGGGCAGAATGGGGTACGGCTGCAGCGCCGGCACTCGCTGCTGGGCGTGGTACGGCAGCGGATTGGGCGTGGTCCGCGGGCCGTGCTGGCGCTGCCCGGTGGCGTAGATGATTGGCTTGTGGCCGGGGGGGCGGAGCGAGCCCGACCCGAACATCTGGCGGGCCGCCCCCCGGTGGGCGGGGTATGTCGGTTGGGGGTAGGGCGACTGGTCGGATGGGGTGCATTTCACTGGAATGAATGGAGAGTTTGTAAAGGGTGTCTTCTTATATGCAGAGTAAGCCAATAATGCGTTCTCCTTCAATATTGGCCAAACCTTCAGATATATACAGTGCTCCACAATTGAAGTGGGACACCTGAAATTTTCGCTCCAGTTTGTAAGATTATAACTTTTGAGAAAATGATCCGATTTCGATTCGTTTTCCAGAATTCAGAAGCTCATTCTATTGTCTCGAAACCCATGGATTCGAAGAACTGAAAATATCATAAATTGAAATCGTACAGGGCGATTAATGGTGTTTCAAGTTATAGACTTTTGATCGCATCTCTGCTGCCCGAATGATTACACAAATGAATATTTTCGTTGCAATAAAGAAGAATGATGAGATATCTTAAAACAATTTCGTTTTTTTTTTTTTTCGAGCGCCTCAATAATTTCTGAGAGGTATCTTTGTATCATTATATCTTCAGAATCGATGATTCGAAATCAATTCTCAAGTGCCCTATATCCGGCGCAGGCAGGTCAATGCTGTCAATGAAGATCTTGCTGAAATCACAGCCTGGGGAACAAACAATCTAGTTGAATTCAACGCTACCAAAACTCAAGCCTGCATTTTCTCTAGAAAGGCGGAACTCAGTATGCCCGATATTGTAATGTCTATAGCTCCATCATCCCCACCAAGCCCACCTTATCTATGCTCGGTATTTCCATCAGCAACACTCTTTCATGGGATAATCATGTCAGATCCATCGCAAAAGTTGCTTCACAAAAACTCGGATTCTTGTTCCGTGCGAAAAGCTACTTTACACCACAACAGCTTCTCATGATCTACAAAGCGCAGATACGGCATGTTCTAGAATACTGTTCCCACATATGGGGTTCAGCACCAAAACATACGCTGATGCTCTTGGATTCCATCCAGAGAAGAGCCATTTGCCTGGTGGGTGACGCCACACTCACTCACTCTTTGACTTAATTGGAACACCGTAGAAAGGTCGGCGACCTTTCACTTTTCTATCGATACTTCCACGGGAAATGTTCTTCGGAAATCTCTGCTATCATCCCTTCACTAGCAATACCAATCAGACGAACTAGACAAGCCCAGTCAGCACATCCTTTCGTTGTCAACCTCGAAAGATGTCGAACAGCACTTTATCAAGACTCCTTCATCCATAGAACAGCTAGGCTCTGGAATTCATTGCCTGTGGAAGTATTCCCAACAACATATAATCTCCAAAAGTTCAAAAAAAATTCCAATACCTATACCTCCCTGTCCCTATCCTCCCTAGGATCGCACGATGTTCTTTGAACATTATAGGGATTCCCGTTCGTGCGCTCCAAGCGATAAAAAAAATCCACCCGTATATAAGAATATTTTTCCAATCATGAAGATACGAGGTGCATCGAAAAACCATCATTTAGAATTTATAATCTCAATTGTAATCGGTCCCTCATGCTTTATTGATTCTGATTCATTAAAATTCGAATAGCAGAAGCTGCTTTTGAAGTTCCAAGACGATTTCTATCCTTTTTCGTTAACTGTCGACGTGAATACCATAGTTTTTGAGATGGAGTTAGTAGGCAGTTCTCATTTCTCTCGATATTGATACATTGAAACATTCTGTATATCATATCGAAACCAACGAGGATCAAAAAATGGTTTGGTTTTATAGAACTATCGTTTTTTGCATGAACCACTTCTCTGCATGTGTTCAGATTGTATTTGCAGTCGTGAAGTACACATTAAAAAATGCCTAGGCTAACCTCACCTTAATTGACAAATATAGCCAGATGATAACCAAGGGACTACGAGATATCGTCATGGTGGAGGGGGTTTAGCGATATGAATCCAATTGAGCATGTTTGTAGTCGGATGAAATCAAAGTTGAAAAGAAGAGGACGATTGCGATATTGGATGAATGGGAAGCTATTCCCCAGAACTTCATCAGAAATCTTGTGGACATTTGACTTCGCGGTTACCTATATTACTAAACAACCACTAAATTCGCAATTTTTTGAAATCAAATCACAGAATTAGACTGACAGAAGTGACATCAGATATTTGATTTCTTCAAAAGAATGATAAAGATGCCTACAACGCAGGTGTCCCTACTGTTGAAAAGTTTCACGTCGATAATTTTCAGATTTCAAAATAATGTAATCTTTTCTCAATATTGATTCGTCCTTTCTTTTGTCACAGAAAAAAATAGTGTATCATACACGGAAGACGCGTCAGGAGACAACACAACCTGGAGCTAAAATCTACTACTTTTTTCCCTTGTATAATAAATAACTATTTTAGTGAAGTTGTCATGTATGTAAATATATTTTCATTAATCCTGAGTCACGACACGTTATGATCATAATTCCTGGGACATTATTTTGTATTTTAGATTCCTTCGTACTCCTTTTGTTATAGTACTTATAGATAGTTTTTCTTTGTACTTTTCAACAAGTGAAATAAATTTTTATTATTTATATACACTGACCGGTAAAAGAACCGGCCCCCAAAAAATTTGCCCAAGATGTTCACTTTGTAACTTTTTTAATACTTGTCCGATTTTCGTGAAACTTCGATCAAATCGTAGATTCATGTTCCGGAATGTTAGCCTAAATATTAGTTTCCGTGAAAAGCTGATGACTTGATAATCATAAAGAGAAAAACAAAGTTACTCTTTCGCTCTCTACTTCTTAACGGCCCGTGGCGAAATTGATTGGTTGAACTTGGCTTCCGACACAATGGTTATTGATTCTCGTCATGATCTTATTTTCAATTGAGGAGAAAATACGAGTGTTTTTTGTTTTAACTCTTTCAAGTACTTTGGTGCAGAATTTGAACCACGAATTTCTTGGAGTTAGAGGTATGCTGGGACAAAATATATCCCGCTCTGCAATGGGCTTATGATTTGTGGTACGACGGTTCATTTTCTCTCCCGCCCCATGTTACTCACTCATATTGGTCTTTTGAATCATATGTTCTAAGCTGAAGCGAATAAAACAATACATTATTAGTGAACACATAATAGAATAAACTCGAAACTCGTTCCGTACGCTGTGTTTCTCCTCTCGAATTTCGGCTGCAAATTTCATGCTTATCATGTTATTACAATTTTTGTTGCATTTAATACTATCTAGGCAACATAGGTAACCTACTTGTTATATTTTTCCAATTCCAACTTATATGTTCATTTTTCGTTCACAAAATGTGAAAATCTAAGCTGTCTGAAATTTGTCCCACCATACAACATGACCAAGACATTTTTCAAGGATAATGATGAGGAAAATTATGTCGAATTCAATTTTAACAACATTATACTGTCTGATATGAATATCGAGACACCAATACTTATATATAGACCTAACAATACTTTATTTTCCGTATCATTTTGTCATACAAACGCAGGAGAAAATTCACCACTACATAGAATGAAAATCTGTACAATCGAAAGTTGTTTTCTGTAGATTTTTTTCAATCCTCACTGAATGTTTTCAAAAAGAAATCAGATACATATACAATTCTCACAGTGCATAGAATATTCAGCCAATTGTAATCATTTCAATGATAAATCTTATTTACTTCATTATCAAATTTTTCAAATTTATTTTAGTTTTTGGGTTATTAATTTATATGTACACCATGAAACTATGTAATAATTGTGAATAACAATCTGGACCTTGGGGTCTGTCGTTATCCTATTTGATTTTCAATAAATAAATAAATAAATAAATAAATATGGATACATGGGACCCAAAAGATTTGATAACCCTATCGCGGAGTTGAAACCAGGGATAGAGAAAAAAATGGTGTGGAGTGGATGAGATCGTTCAGCCAAAAGATTTCAATAGAACCTCTGGAGTGGCTCAAGATGGATAATCTCTCTCGTCAGCTCATCACGGACAAATTATTGAATCGCATAGTTTTCCAGATCAATCTATATACTAAGCAGTATTATCAGACGACTGCAAAGACATGTAAAAGAACAGATATTCATGAAATCGTTTCCTTGGATGCCGCTGTAGTCAACGTATTTATTCTTCACAGAATACTCTATATCTTTCAAAGTTATCAATTAAAGACTTGATCATTTAGTCGTCAATAAATATCGGTATCTTCATCGAGAACATCAATCGAATGGACGAGTCAGATAGAGAAGAACACTCAGTCAAAGCCCGGTAATAAGAGTCACACAGGGTGCTCATCAACCTATCGGAACAAGTCGAAGGAGATAATGCTCTTTGCAATTCAGGAAACTTTTAAGTTGGAACAAACTGGTTGTGTGTTCCACTCTGTCTTGCGAAAAACAAAACATGTTTGCAGACGTTTCACAGTGATTTGAACTGAGTCGATTCTCATGAAATCTTTCACCTTATGGAATGGTGGGTTAGATTTTGACCCACCGTTTTTTTGTAAAAATTGGAAAATTCTGAAATTATTTCATATTTGTTCGTATCTTTTGAGACAGTTGGAGTTAGTTTGTTAATGAATCTCTTGAAAATCTGAAGAAAAATAAAGCTGTACATCTAGGGGGTGTTATATTTCGAAATTCCTGTACCTGAAAGAGTTAAGAAAGTATGGCATTCTTCTATTATTATTATCAAGAATAATCAGAAACTACATATACTTATTGATCACTCATTTCTACCTAATTTTTCCATCACACACCGAAAAAAAAAAACGTGAATTATAATAAACAAACGAACAGCAGACCAGTAGTCAATAACGAGTAGGTATGCCCTCCTCGAGTTTGAATTACAGCATTCAACCGCGCCGTGGCAAATTTTTCAAGTATTCATGAATAATTCCAGAAAGGATTGCCTAAAATTTTCGTTGAATGGTGAATCATAGCTCTTGAAGAGTCCCTGACTAGACCGGACAATGACGAATGAGTCTCTGGAGTTCATCCCTCTATAGGTCCTGAATTTTTGTTGATAAAAATAAAAAAATCCATACTTTCTCAAAACCCTTGTATCTTCTCCTGAAAAAAAGTTATCAACGTGAATCAAACACCATTGTGTC